TTATAACTCAATGATGTTGATTTTGGATGCAACATACAACCAAACGTTAGAGAAATTCTTTAATGAAATCACGTTACACACCAATCACCATCCAAATGCTCACGGACCACGGTGACGACCTGACGAGTGACGGCCGTGACGGGTGAGTGCCATGAGTCGGTGAATGGTGATAATCAGTCATCTGTGCCTGAGTATTAGTAACAATAATGATGATAACCATGGACAAAGATAATAATATTTACGTAAATAAATACGTAATTGACTGGTAACGACCATAGACATATTTATTAACGACTAACTACATGGTGGRCGGGTTACGGGGTAAATGTTATMCACTACGACTTACGAGTTCACGACTACAAATCTAAATTTTAAATGCATATTGCTTATTAAGTTGTAAGTAACGACTTATTTTTTTAAAATAGATCTTTATAGATTGAAATACATTCTTTGAATAATATTCTGCTTCAGAATATAAAATTAAAAATGTGTGTCACTCAAAATAATGTTCTCAGGAATGTTGTTTTTAAATTGAAACTTTTTAGTCGACATACATAACAAATGTTGTCATGTTGACACTTAAATGAATTACTCCGTATTAAAATGATCTTAATATTCAGCCTCGTCGTGTGATATGTTGAACATAATATTATGACCCGCAAAGCTAAAATCTTAAAATCAACAATTATTGATCAGTGATCAGTGATCCTAAATCTATATACCATATACCTATATGATAGGGGTGAGTGACGAGAACAGCAGATAGAAAACTCACACACAGTTGCTAATTTTACGACCACGGCGGTTAAATTCTATTATCATATTATACATATATACACCCCGGGTACTTGTTAATTCGCGAATGTAAATATAGCACACGCATATTTATGATCACAGACCACAGTCAGGTATTGATATACGGATTTACCTAACACATTTAAAAGATGCAAATTATACTAATWACTTTTTGTAAATTGTTGAGTAACGTGATACTTTCTTCCCAGTTTGCCGAGCCGACAACGATGATTATTTTGGATACGTTGTTCTTGGCATAGCAATATTAGTAATTATATACAACTAAAATGTTAAGGTAAAAAGTAGGTATTTAATTGGAAATCAATCATTTAGAAACCAATAGGGATGGTCCGTG